CCCCCCAGGTTCCTGGAGGGTCCATCCAGCCCAGCCCCTCACCCCAGTGCCCCCCACCATGGCTGCGAGGCCAGGGGGGCTTCCGGCTGTGCCTGGGGCAGGTGGGAAGGGACAGGTGGGAAGGGACAGGTGGGAAGGGACAGGTGGGACACTCGGGTGGGAAGGGCAGGACCTTGTCCAGCCCTGGCTGAGGTTGGGCACTCCCATGCCCCAGCTCAGCCCCGGCCCTGCTCCATCCCCAGCCCCATGTGCCAGTGACGCTTCCAGTGTGGTGGGATCCAAGGAGCCCGTTGTGGGATGAGCTCCTTGGGTGCCCGAGGCTGCAGGGATGGGCTCCTTCTCCAGCTCCCAACCTCACCAGCTCTGGTGTTTGGGGATGTGCCGGACTATTGGGGCTACTCTGTGGGATCTGGATACCCCGGTGCCGTGGGGTGGGAATGCAGCACCTGGGGACCCTCGTGGGGCAGAGCTGGTGCTGCCACTCCTGTGCTGCCCTGGGGACACCGAGGCAGGGCCAGCCCAGGGCTCGGCATCGGCAGCTCTTTGTGCCCCCTCATTTCACACCCCGGGACTGTGCCTCTTGGGGGGGCACTGGGGACCCTGCCCAGGCCTGGGGACCCTGCCCCTGAGAGTGGGCACCGAGGTTTGGCAGCGTAAGGGTGGCCATGGGGGTCTGTGAGCCTGCAGGTCACCAGCCCACAGCTCACCCCACACAGCCCACCCCTGTGCCACGCTGTGCCCAGTGCCCAGGTCCCTGTGCTCCCTGACACATTCCCGGGCTGGGAGCGGAGCAGAGGGATGACACAGGTGGCACAGGGGCAGGACAGGGTGGCAGGGGGTGACAGGGCACGGCGCAGGGTGACAGGGGCTGACAGGACATTTGGCAGTGTGGCCTGTGTGTGAAATGGCACCTCCATACCTGGGGCAGGGCCTGAGAGCCCGGGTGGGCGCTTCAGGTGCCACCACGTGCCCGCGGCCACCCCAGCCCCTGCTCCTGGGGGGGGCTCTGGGGGTCCCTGCCCGGCGTGGCCCCCCCAGATCGCCGCCCCAGCAGCCTCGGCCGCAGCCGCGGTGCCGGTGGCCGCGCTCGGCCATATGGCCACAGCGGGCACCGGGTAAAAATAGCCAAGGCGGCTGCACCCCGGGCCGGGCGGCAAGGGCGTCCCAAGGGCACGGCGGGGCCCGACCCCCGCCTGGAGCTGCACCTCACGGGGGGCTCTCGGCTGCATTTGGGGGGGGGTCCATCCCGAAGCCCCGGCGTGACGCCCCCCTGTCCCCCCCGCAGCGGCGGCAGCACCTCCGGGGCAAGATGCCGGAGCAGAGCAACGACTACCGGGTGGTGGTTTTCGGCGCCGGCGGCGTCGGGAAGAGCTCGCTGGTGCTGCGCTTCGTGAAGGGGACCTTCCGAGACACCTACATCCCCACCATCGAGGACACCTACCGCCAGGTGATCAGCTGCGACAAGAGCGTGTGCACCCTGCAGATCACCGACACCACCGGCAGCCACCAGTTCCCGGCCATGCAGCGCCTCTCCATCTCCAAGGGCCATGCCTTCATCCTCGTCTTCTCCGTCACCAGCAAGCAGTCGCTGGAGGAGCTGAAGCCCATCTACCAGCAGATCGTGCAGATCAAGGGCAGCGTGGAGAGCATCCCCATCATGCTGGTGGGCAACAAGTGCGACGAGACGCAGCGGGAGGTGGAGAGCAGGGAGGGGGAGGCCATGGCCAAGGAGTGGAAATGCGCCTTCATGGAGACCTCGGCCAAGATGAACTACAACGTCAAGGAGCTCTTCCAGGAGCTGCTGAACCTGGAGAAGAGGAGGAACGTGAGCCTCACCATCGACGGGAAGCGCTCCAGCAAGCAGAAGAGGACAGACAAAATCAAGGGGAAGTGCAGCATCATGTAGAGAGCCCCGGACTGGCCCGTGCCCCCCCTCCAGACCCCCCTTCTCCCCCCCCACGGCCGGACGTGGCAGTGGCATCGCAGCGGGACCGTCCCCTCGTCCTCCGTGTGCCATCACTGTGACTGTGCGGGGACCCCTGCGCTCGCCCCGGGGCTGGGGTTGAAGATGGGGCGTCCCCCCGAGCCGAGGGACACGCGGCCACCCCCGCCGGGCACGGCAGGACCCCCGGACCACCTGCACCCCCCACACTCACAGCACAACCGGCGGCCCCGGCCCCGGCCCCCGTCGGTCCTCGTGGGAGGGAAGGACCTCGTGGTGGTGTCGGTGTCACCCTCGGGGATGGTCACACGTGTCCCAGGCCCTCCCCACGCCCCCGTCCCCACGCCATAGTGCTCTGCTCCTGCGGGCAGAGACCCGGGGCGGGGGCAGCCCCCGCGCGGTGCCGTGACCCCCCC